GGGGGGGGGCGGGGAGAGTGGGGGCGGGGAGGGGGGGGGGAGGGAGAGGTGGGGCAGGGAGAGATGGGGCAGGGAGAGGTGGGGCAGGGAGAGGTGGGGCCTGGGAAAGCCACAGGCAGGAAGGTCGTTACTGTCAGGCACAGGCTTTGGACGGGGCTGGGAGTGAACCCCACGCACATCCCGTCGCTGGGCCCAGACAGGGGCCCCAGCCGCTCCCTGCGCGCTCGGCGGGTCTCAGGCACGTCATCTGGTGACGCTGCTGCGCTCAGGGTATTTTCCCAGTGGACACGTCCGCTTGTGTGTTGGCCTCCACATGGTCACCCTCCACACCCTGGGGACCATCGCTCCGGCCCTGGGCAGTGGCTGCAGCCTCCGGGCGGTGGGACGTGGTGCTGGGCCTGCAGGCACCTTCCTGCTGTCTGGGTGGCATGGGCCTGAGCCAGGCCCCGGAGTGACCGCCCTGCTGAGGTCCTTCCCAATGCCCACCCCACCCGCCTCACAGAGAGAGCGCCCGGCGCCCTCAGCGCATCCGGGAGAATGGGGAGGCTGGGCCAGCGGGCGTCCCGGTCACACCAGTCTCGGCAGCACCCTGTCCCGGCTCCCAGCAGGGGCACGGAGCTGGTCAGCGAGGGTGGTCGGGAAGGGCCGGCTGGGACCCCCAAGGCAGTGCTCCGGGCCAACCAGGCCAGGGCTCAGCGTCACCAGTGTGGGTCCTAGATGGGCAGTGAGGTGCCCTCCCATGTCCAGGGTGTGGGGATGCTGGGGACACCCCGGGCCCAGGGTCACAGGTGAGTCTGCAGCAGAGCCAGCTGGACGGCCCCGCCCGCCCACCTGGCTGACACCTGCTGCCCAGCCCTTGCCCCCCAGGCACGGGCCCTCGTCTCCAGACCTGGAGGCTTAGTCCTGACGCTGCCCATCACCTCGGAGCCCCAGCCCTTTGAGGCAGCCAGAACGACAGGACCGAGCCGCCCTGACAAGGCCTTGCTTAGTTTGGGTGACAGGAAAGTGGCTTCCCGTGTCCGGGGCACCGCTGGCCAGGCCGCAGGCTGGTGCCGGTAGAGCCCCCTCCCCGAGGCGTGAGGTTCCTGTTTCTGGGGTGTCTGGGAGGGTCGGCGGGTCAGGGGTGGCCACGGTTCCCTCCAGCCAGTCGGCCCCTGTGACCGGCAGCCTTTACCCATCAGCCCTCGCCGATGAAGCCGGCAACTACTTCTTCAACGGCAACTTCAAGGTGGACAGCCCCAAGAACTTCAACATCGCCGGCACCGTGGTCAAGTACCGGCGGCCCATGGACATCTACGAGACCGGCATCGAGTACATCGTGGCCCAGGGGCCCACCAACCAGGGCCTGAACGTCATGGTGCGTGTGCTGCGGGTCTGGGAAGATGGGCCAATGCCAGGGGCTGGCCCGTGTCACTCCGGCCCCTCGCATGGTGACAGGGTGGGGAGAGGGAGTGGACCCAGCGTGTGCTGCAGGTCGGGGCGGCGCCGGGCAGGGACCTCCGGGCCAGCACGCCACACAG